CTACTCACAAAAGTTAAAATACAAAATACTGATGATAATTACATAGTGCAAGGGGATGTGAGTTCACAGCTAGGCCATCTGAGAAGAAATAATGAGGTATCACTTCCAGCTTATCTTACTATAGTCATGATAATTTTAAGTAGGCTCCTAGTTGCCGAGTATGTGGCTGTGTGAAATGTTTATCTTTGATGAATTAGTTTGGTAAATATTTCTTTTGCAATTAACTCATGTTTATGTGCAGGAAGAGTCATTTTCCATATGTGATAGATTTCTCTACTTTTGTTTTGCTTTACTGGTTCCCTTGATCTTTCAAGGATGACTCCTGAAAAACCTTGTGTTTTTTGTGATTGTGATTCAGTTTCTTGATATATATTCCAAATGTAGTAGTAATTCATTCAAATTAGAACTTTATGATAACCAATTATGAACAGTTTGATTAACAGGATTTTCTTGCCAATTACTGCTTGGGACTCTCTCTTGACTTACACAACTACAAGAATGCTTTGAAGATGCTGAGCTAAAGGGTATAAGAAGAGGAATGAAACAACTAACAATGCGTGCTTTAAGAGTGAGAAATCTCTGACATGAACTGCTACTGTGCCCAGTTGTCTTGGAGGTGAGCAGATCGGCACCTGAAGAAGCTGATAAAAGAAACAGACTGCTTTTCTTTGCCTGTTTGGTGAGAAATTCTCACTTTATAGCTAAACACGCGACTTTATTTTTTTGGGCTTATTTAACTTTGAATACCTGTAGTAAATAAAGCCTTTCTGTCATTTATTGAATGAGGTGTCATGTTAATCCTTGAATACTAGTCCAGAATCCCATTTTATTACTTAACAAGGGGTTGTGGACTAGGGGTGACTAGGGGGCAGAGCCCGGGGACAGGTGGCCAGCACCCTGGCTTCTGGCTGGTCCCCCATGGGCTTACATGCCACAGAGAGTGTGGCAGGTGGGGGGCTCACCTAGGGGAGATGGTGGCTGGTGTTCTCCCAACATGGGCAGCTCCTCCTCCAGCAGCTGGTGTCCAGGGCCAGCAGGGCTGACTTGTAGTCCTAACCCCATTGCAGGCAGCTCTGGCTCCGCACGCAATGCGGAGGCTGGGTGAGGAGTAGAGATGGACCCAGGCAGGGGGCTGGAGCAAGGGCACCGGACCTGGAGCAAGGGCCAGGGCAGGGGCTCCTGGCTGCTGGAGGTGGCACAAGATCTTCTCCCAGGCCCAGGCCAGGGCCTGCTGGTCAGCACTGGGTGACTGCCAGGGGGCAGGTGGGGATAGGGTTGGAGGCTAGGCAGGGGGCAGCATGAAGGCAACCGCCAGAGTCAAAACAGCACCTGATGCTTGTCATCCATGGCCTGCACTGCCTGGGCCAGGATGGTGTTCTGCTCCCACAGCACCTCCACCTGCTCATGCTCAAGGGCCAGGAGCTGCACTCAGAACTCCCTGTCTGCCCGGTCCCATGTTTTTTTGCAACAGTTCGACACCTCCTCACGCCAGTCCCACATGTCATCGTGGGTAATGTCCTTTGCCCACCACCTGTCCTGGCATACCATGTCCTCTACCCACCAGGCCTATGCATCTGCCAGCTGGTCGTCTGATGCCGTGACCAGGTGTCTTCCAGGGACCTCCTCTGGCACAGCTGACACATCTGCAGGGCCCCAGCTGTGGGTGGCGGTGACCCTGGGGTTGCATCCTGCTGCCAAAGAAGACATTGGTGCCAGCAGTGACATGTTGCTCGACATGCGAGGCCTGTGCCCGCCTAGCTGCAGGGGCATGAGCTGCTCAATAAAGTTTTGCACTGTCTCCCACCTCCCTGTGTGCTGTGGGTGGAGATCCCCAGGTAAGGGGAGTGCAGGTGGGCTGGGGCTGGGGGCAGGCGCAGGGGCAGGGACCTTATCACATGGCTGGAGCTGACACGACTGGTGGCTTCATGCAGTCGTGGTGGTCGGCGATGGCATGTTGCTCCAGGTAGTGTCCTCAAATGGTTAGGCACAGCACGTGGGTGCCTGGCTGGGGACCCTGCCCAGGGAGGAGCTGGCACTGCTGATGGCTGGCAGTGTCATGGCTGGCCGTGCCCCATGGTGGGACCTGGATCTGCAGAAATGGTGAAGCAGGCACTGGCCCAGGCTCCCTGAGCTGCTGGTGGAGGGTGCAGCTGGGAAGCTAGGTAGGACAGGCTGCGGGACACCCAAGGGGCCCTCTCCTGGTGATGTGTCACCAGGGGTGCCAGGCCAAAGAGGAAGCTCAGGCAGGCCACCCATGGAGCTATAGACAGCAGCCTGGGTCCTGGGGCCTAAGTATGTCCATCAGTAGACGCAGCCAATTCCACCTGGAAAAGGGGCACTTGGCACAGTCTGAAGATCCCCTGGGAGGGGAAGAGGACAGAGAAAAAGGAAAGGACAGTGACACAACTGGACCCAGAGACAGTGAGGAAGACAGCAACAGGATCAGCAGCAATGGAAGTGACAGCAAAATCGACAGCAACAAGGACAGGGAATGAACTGAGAAGGCAAACCCCAGATCAGGGTTTGGACTAAGGGACTGAGATTGGGTTAGGGAAGGGCAGTGGGTTGGTGCATGGGGACGCAGGGGAACGGCTGTGTTTATTGCATCAGGTGCACAGTTTCTTAATGTGGTTTAAGGATTGTGATGGAAAGTTTTATTCTAGATGATGTGTGTGTGTGTGTGTGTATATATATATAACTATAACTATATATGTATAGAGAGAGAGAGAGAGAGAAATGTATTTTTTTTAAAAAGTGTCTGTCAGTTGCCACATAAAAGGCATGGAATTATGGGCACTCCTTGACTAACAACTGTGGTCTGTGATGGTGACCCACTGTGCCCACAAGGCCTTGACATTTATGCAGCACTGCTGCAGTGACTGGGAGTGGCTATGCTCCCACATCTGGCCTGACAGCACCTCATAGACGTAGGTGTTGGAATGTCCGTTCTGCTCAAACTGGTGCTGCACCTCCACCTTTCCACCCAGCACCATGAGGTCACCAGTTTCCTCCATGGACCAACTGGGGCCTCGGGTGGTGTGTACAGCATTGGCATGGCAATGGATAAGGAGCACACCATCATGGGCCTCTGCACAGCTGTCTCTGTGCCTCATCATGGCTGGGACTGGCCTCTGTACAGCTAAGGCAATGGCCTTCAGCACCTGCAGGCTCATAGCAGGCTGCTGGTTGTGGGCTGCAGGCAGGTGGAGTTGGCCCCAGCAGCCAGAAGCTGCCTGCAGCTAGGCCTGGGTGCTGGCAGGCCTGGCTGCAACCTGCAGCACCCTGCTGGACTGGATGGAATGGGAACTGCACCGTGAGGTGCAAGGCAGTGCAGTGCCAGGCAGCAGTGCTGGGCTGCAGGCAGGCTAAGGCAGTTGGTGTGTGGCCTTCCTAGGGGGACACAGGGTGTGGCGGGTGCAGGGACCCCACCTCAGGAACACAGCTGGGTATTCGTATCCCTCCGCTGTTTCCATCACGTGAGGCGGGCCAGTAGGGGGCGCTCCTGCATCGAGCTGCCCACCTCCCTGCGCCCGACCACCTTCCAGGCTCCGAATGCCTCCCTA